CTTATTATATTATCAAGTTCCACAATAAGAGATAAATTTTACATCAGACCCATGAAACACACACACACACACACACACACACACACACACACACACACGTATTTTATATATATATATATATATATGGGTATATGTGTGAATGTTATAAAACAGAAACAAATAATACCCTTACTATTTGCAATATACTTGGATTTTTTTAATTGCTGGATTTAAAAAAAATTTTTAATTGCACCCCACCTAATTTGATTCCACAGCCCAATAATGGGCTGGGATGCACATTTTTAAAAACACTGTTCAACTTTGCAAATACAGTTGTCCGTGTTGTGTGAGCTGGAATGCAGCAGTGAAACAGTATGCATGTAGAAAGCATCAGAAGAGGCTCTGTCCCCAATAGGTGACAACACAAAGCTCTTTAGGATCAAGATTTATTTCTCTAAGGTCTGTCACTCAGAAAAACAGTCCGAAACCAGCTTAACCTATCATTCCTCAAAAGAAATAGAAAGAAATTGAATTTGAGATTTAAGATTTAAAAATGCTTAATAACTATATAATCTATATTCTCAAGGATGAAAACAACCACCACTAGTTCATAGTTTGAAGTCAAGAGCTGAAACTCCAGTGTAGGGGAAACAGCTGTAGACTGGAGATCCAACCTGGTTCCCCATCTTGACTTGTCACTTAATAAGCTGTCCTTCTTGTCAGCAGGTCGCTGAGGTTGTTTTCTCATATTTAAAGTGGAAGAAGTACCACGTCAGTTTCTCTCAGAGATAACTATGTAAAAACTCTTATGAAAATCTGAAGTGCTATACAAATGACTGCATTGAATGCCTCTCAGAATTTCTGTGCTGTAAGGATTTTTATTTGCTCAAAGTCTCAAGGGTATATGCAGAGGATGATGACAATAATGTCTTTGCATCAATGTGGTTTAGTGGGACAAAGCTCCACCCAGCTATGGGACCTGGAGCAAGTTGCCTAATTACCCCTTCCAGAATTCTGAGTGTCACTTTGGCTCCTCCCTTTCTGCTCACCAAAGCCAACTGAATCCCTCGAATCCATCAACTCTCTTCTTCCCCACCACTATTTCAGCGAACTCGGACAGCTATCTCTTCTGCTTTGATGCACACGGCAGCCCCCCATCTGATCTCCCTGCCTCAGTCTTGCCCCTTCCCACCTCCTCCTGTCACTGAGATTCAGAAGGGAAAATCTGACCACCTTATTCTGCTGCTAACACTTTTCCGTCCCTCCCCACAGAGCCTTGATGCGAAGCGGATCCCTCAATTGTAAAATGAAGAGAATAACACGGCACCGTATTATTATATGAAGGTTAAATGGCATAATGCAAACCAAACCATTTGTTTAAGTGAAAAGAAACATACAGATGTAACAGGTTATTACATCAGTGGAAAATTGAATTTCCAGACAATTCAGTAATTAAGTAAAGTAGTTAAATAGATTACTTGAGTAATTAAATTGATTTAATACATTATGTCAGAGGTTTGGCAGATGTATTCAAGCTGTAATGATGAAGTGGTGATAATGATTTTTCTGTACATTACATGTAAGATGTTAAATCCCCCCCCAAAAAGGAATCAGTGCTCAAGTGGGAAGAGTGCCTGTTACAATCAATAATGTTTAAATAATAGTTTGTTCATAATTCACGTACTGGATTTGGTGATATGTAGACAAAGCTATATACTCCTGATTGTTTTCTTAAAACCTTATCAAACTACAAATCTGCCTTTTCAAAAGATGTGTCTAAACAGGGTTTCTCATCTTTATAGAACACTAAAATGAAATGCCAACACAACTGCAGATGTTTATCACGGGCAGAAATCCTCCAAACAGATAACGTGTTCTAAAGTAAATATTCAACAATAGTAAGTAAGTGACAACCAGTTACTATCTAGTGAATAATCACAGCTGTGTATTAGGGGATGATTGGAATTATATTAATCCCAGAGACAATCCTCTGAATCATCAGAGACAAGTTTGGTGTCCCTGAACTAAAATAAACCTGTAATAGAAGTGTTCAATAAAAATGGAAACAAAACAAAATTTTCTTAGAAAGAGAATTAACAAAATAATGAAAACAGAAATATATAAAATGTTAGGCTATTTGGAAAAGTTATAATTATTTAATGGGTTATATCACAGCTAACTTGAACTTTATTTAATAAGGAGTGATTATAAGACCAGTATCACTCTACCACAAAACAGACAACAGAATAGGTGTTATTGTTCATAGTAGTACAGTTAGAGGCACATAGCAGTGTGCCTAAATAAATATTTGCTGCTTAAATTAATTAACAAACAAATAAGATTCAGGGCTCTTCTATGGCTACCATTATTGATTCAAACAACTTTTAGTATTAGTGCTCTTTAAAAATAATCAGTACCATTACAAATCTTAATAATTTTTTCAGTGAGCTTAGATAATATTCATAGCATATATGTGTGTGTGTATTATTCCATTATAATAACCCATGAAACACAATGCATTTCACAGTCCTTCCTTATCCAAGAACAATCTTTGAAATAGACTATTTCCTAATGTCCAACATATTGCATAGGAGTTTTGAGATATTGGAACTTGTAACTTTATGCTAATGTTTGTGGATAGGAGAGCAGTTATGATAAATATATGACACAATGGCCACTACTCTCCCCAATTTCATAACAGAAACCAATAATGAATCACTTTCCCACCAAGCCTGGAATTTATCCTCAATGTTAATTTTAACATACTATTCCACATAGTACCTGTTAATAAATTCATTTATTCACTCAACAAATATTGAATTCTTACTATGTGCCAGGCACTATACTGGGGAGGCATCCTGCAGATAAAAGGACCCAAGACAGACATGGACCTTGCCCTCATGAGGCTGAAGTTAACAATTGACTTGACACCCACATAATGGTTATTTGCCAGATCTGCTCTGTTGTATAGTTAAAATGGAAATAATTCTAAATAGCTGAGTTTCTCTTCTGTCATGAAAGGGGATTCAAATGGATGGGCTCTGCTCTCCTTACCTGCTGGCTGCATGAACCCATGATGCCTATTGGATAGTGCAGGAGTTAAATGTTAACATAGCTGAATATTGTTCTTTAGGAAACAAGAGATGGTCTTTTATTCATTTATGCATTTGATTTGCAAGTCAGACTCCAATAAACCCATAGGAGAAAATTTTATGAGAGTTTTAGTGTGAATGAATTTTTCTTCCACTCCCCCCAGAGAGATAGAGGAATCTCTGTGACCCACTGCAAAGTGCCTTCTTTTCTCCACAAGTGCCGGAAAGAACATAATACACCATGTAGAACTAGGAAAAGAGAACAGATAGCTGAGTATATGTCTTTTTCTACCACTATCAAGCATCATTGTGTCTTCTTTCCCCTGAGCTGCACAATATCTCTCTGAAAGGCTCTGTTCTTAATTCTGCCCCTTCTCCACCCTGCCTCCTTTCCTGCCTGCCATCCTTTCTACCCTCCTATGGAAGTGGGCTGACTTGCCCAAGTGACGTTCCCCAGCCTACATCCTACTCTTATGTTTAAGTGAGCTGATTACGTCCCTATGATGGCAAACTGCTAGGATGTTTAGTCCCCTACAGTTATCTACCCCATGGAAAAATGCAAAGTGTTAGAACATGTCAGAAAATGATTCAGTCAAAATTAGGCTGGTAGTAGCTAAAAAGAGATTACTGTCAATAACATGCAACTATTCCACTGTCTCCTAAGACTACACTGAATCTGGACAATTACATATTATGCTCAAACACTGTCTAGTTGCCTTATTTCAAAAATTAAAAAAGAATCTCACCAAAACATTAATTCTATTGTACTGCCTCAAATGGAGAAACCCCCTTTAACTCACCAAGAGGTGGACCCACAATATATACTTAGCTATTGAAGCTGATGATTAGTTGTTCTGTTTTGTTTTTTTTAAAGATGACCGGTAAGGGGATCTTAACCCCTGACTTGGTGTTGTCAGCACCACGCTCTCCCAAGTGAGCTAACCAGCCATCCCTATATAGGGATCCGAACCCGTGGCCCTGGTGCCATCAGCACCACACTCTCCCAAGTGAGCCATGGGCCGGCCCTCTGTTTTGTTTTTAAGTTGATTTTGTGCCTGAGGTACCTACTAATGTCGCTCTATGTTCTTTAGAGCCTGGTTTTTTGTTTCTGTTTTTTTTTTTAATCCCCCTCTCAACAAGTTTTGGAATTTGGCTGAAACTAAACAAGGAAGAACAAAATGACAGGCCAATTTTCTTATTCTTCCTCAGGGATTCATTTCTATTGTCAATTTATACTCTTTAAGGATTTTGCATTTCTTCCCTTTGAATATTTCTTCACTTGTTCATTCTCTAAGGAAGGAAAAACAGTTCCATAAAAATTATAACCCAAAATGACTCATTTTTACCTTTTGTCCTTTCCACTATACAATGGTATGTACCAGCTCTTATATACTTATAATACTTGCTTAATGAACACGAAATAATACATTATCAACTGGAACGAATTTTGTAACACTCAAAAGACAATAGCAACATTACATACACTAATCGAGTAGAAAAAAACAGTAATTTACAATCCCAACGTATAAGAGAACGAAGGTGTGATAAAGGACAAAAATCTTATATTCTGTTTTGGACTTCTCAATAATTAAGAAATAGAACTAAAATTCTGTCATTCACCTATTCATCCTGTTATGTGCCAGACACTGTTCTAGGTGCTGCGGATACAGTGGTGAACTAAATAGACAAAAGTCTCTCCCCTCATGGAGCATGCAAGTGACTGACTGGGCCTTGAGAATTCTGGTGGAAACTGATACTCAAGAAATACATTAAGAAATGCATTCCATGAGTTTCTACAACTAGGATGGAATCTCTTTCCCGGCCTATTTCTTTCATACTCACTAGGAAAGCCACCTTTCCAATTGATCAGGGTAGATTTATGACCCACTGCAAAGCAGTCGAAAACAATGCAGAAAATGCAGGTCTTACCATTAATAAATATATAGATTGTGGATTCTGCTTCCTTCTTTGAAGTAGGTATAGGTAGATATTTGCAGCTGTAGAGGCCGGTGTGGTTTGCCTGAGCCATGTTCAAGGTCAAAGTACTGCAGAATTGTTTGCCATTCCTTCCACAGGCAGATTTAGTTATATTCAGCCTTTTGCTTTCCTTAGTCACCGTTTCAGGCAAAGACCATGAATGGGCTGCTTCCCCCCTGCAATCACAGATAAGAAAACAAAACACAATTAAGCTGGAGCCAGGGCTCAACATCAGTTACTAAGCATTCATTTTATTAGGAAGCACTGTTTTGAGGTCATCTCTTAAGTATAGTCATCTCCCTCTTTATAGAAAAGCAATACATTCAGAATAAAGATGCAGAATGTTCTGGGCACCCCTTCCCTGTTTCCCCGAGTAAGTAATGCTCTCTCTTCCATGTAATCACCTTCTGTGTGAAGCCGGATACATGTGGTTTGTGCTTTGCAGTTAACAGTAGACCACTGAGACCCCCCTACCTTTCTACTCTGCCAGGGAATGATTTTGCCTTGGGAAAGGCAACTAGATTATTTCCAAACCAACACAGTCACTTACCTGCATTTAAGAAACAGTGTCTGGCCTGCTTGCATGATGTGCTGGGTGCCTTTTAAATTCAGTTCAGGACCTTCTAATTCTGAACCTGAACTAGATCCTGGAAAACAAATATTTAAAACGTATTATTTATAAATTGCCTCCTCATCTTTTTTTAAAAGTTATCTTTCCATAAATGTGAGTTTTCATCTTTAATTTACTTACATATGCAAAAGGATACATCTAATACAAATTTCTCTCAATTCACTAATTTTTTACTAGTCCAAGCCTTATCACAAATATATATATGTATATCTGTCCTTTCATACCAAATGACCTAAATAATATCCAAAAACCCATTTACTTAGAATGCATGTTAATAGAGTTATATATGGTTCAAAATGCAACCATATTAAGCACATATAACAACTTATTAAAAATTCTCAATATTAAATGTCGGTGCCATCCAAAGTATATTTCTAATACTGAACTTCTGCCAGTGTGAGTCTTCTAGTCATACGGCCTGTCTGATCTTTTTCTGAATAAGAAGTATACAAATTTTCCTGGGTTCTAGTCATAGTGATCATGAGTTGAGCAATGACAGTCTGAGCCAATCATTTCCCTTTCTAAACTAGTTTCCTCATTTGGAAAACTAATTTTAGAATTAAAATCAGTCTTAGAAATCATATGGTTTGTCTTACATAATCTATGAGTCCCCTCTGTAATGGTCCAGTAAAAAGGGAACTATTCACTCTTTCATGACATTTGGCAAGTGTATCCTCTCAGAGGATTGTTGTGAGACAATGAAATAAGGTATGTGAAAGTGCTTTAAAATGTATACATCTCTGTGTAATGCAATAATGATATCCATCCTAGCAGCTAGCTGCGTGACACTGGACAAGTCACCTCTCTCTCCAGAGCTCAGTTCTCTTATCTACAAAACAAGAGATTGGATAGATGATGTTGGATCTCTGACCTTCCATTTCGAACCATCCCCGTTGCACGATTCTTTGGGCCATAGGATGCTATAGATTCAAGCCTCCCTTGAAGCTCTCCTTGACCAGTGAGAATAGTAACAATAGGATCTCTCTCTCCTCCTTCCCTTCATCCCTCCCCTCTCTGCTCCTTCCCCTTCTTCATCTCCCTCCTCCTCCTCTTCCTGCTGAGGCAGCTGCAATGCCTTGTCAAAGCAGGAAATGGGGGGCCAAGGATTAGCACTCCTTAGGCCAGATAAGGGAAGGGAGGAAAGAGATTCTTAGCAGTAAAGTTAAGTATTTGGCACCAATCTTAGCGAATATCGTTACTTAAAAAAAATATTTTAAGGTTAAGGGTTTATACAGTGGAAGTCAAGGTAGAACTTGAAGTGAATGGTACTCTAGGGTTTAATGTGACAAATCTGTGAGATTAGATACATGTATCAGATCCCAGGTTATACCCAGCAGTGCTCTCTAGTGTTTCTCTTGGGTTCTAATATCTCAAAGAAAACTGGGCTTAGTTAAAAGATCATCATTCGAAGCTTAGTTTTTCCACTTACTAACTGCATGGCCTTAGCATTACATAATCTGCTTCTCCGTAGCATCCTGAGTAAAACTAGAAAACCCACGATCTCCCTCACAGGAAGGGTGTGTGGATTCAGTGCTGTGTCATGTAAGTGGTTGGCTTGCTGCCTGGAACATGGCAGATGCCCACTGTCACTACCGACATCTAGTAGGCTTTCTCCTCTCTGCCGTTCATCCCCACCTCTGCTTCTGTCAGAAAACATTTTGCTAGGTATGTAACTACAAAGATATTAAATTAATGTTATTTATATGCTTTTCTAGTGTTGCTGATGATATAAATTAATATTTCAAAAGTAATTTTATAGGCAATAGGACTTGGTATCAAATTACTACTAGATAAAATGGCTCAATATTAGCTAATTTAAATTAAAATCACTGTCTTATATGGATTCGGTTGGTCTATAAAATAAACCTCATAGAAAAAGTCAACCCATTTGGATACCTAGGGACACATTGTGTACTTTACTCATCTGCATGAGTTTCCTCAGGTAATATGTAGCTCAAAGTGGTCCATGGGAACACAGAGTTTCCTAAAACCACAGCCAGCAATTGATAACACCTACTCTGAAAAATTTCCAGGCCAGAATAGTTTCTACCCTTCTTTATGGCATGGAACTCTGGGGATTTGATTGAGCAATTGTTCATGTGCTGGAAAAGATCCAGCAAAGCTTCCTGTGGAAAATTCTGGCATTACCTGTAGTTATCTCTGTGGTCTGTGTGGAGGTGAGGAGCTTTCCCATCCGGGAGAGGCAATGAGGAAGAAGACTCCTTTTGCATGATATGAGGTGAATCCCACTGCCTGATATTTTAGTTTCTAAACCTAGTACACCAGTACTCCTGACCCTCGTCAGAGAGGACCTCCGACCTCAGAGAACCACCTGAAGCCCAGCTGATAGAAGTGCTGCACACAGAAGATCTCTTACAGAATTTGCCCTCTGCACGTTCCTCTCTGCACTCCCATGCTGTCCCCCACGAAAAGACAGTGTAGCTGAGTAGTTATACGACCCTGAAACAAATAGGGTTATTGGAATGTTAAGGGGAAAAAAATGCCAGGAAAAATATGATGCTATATAATTTGTCTCCACTAACATCAATAAATTTTGCACTTGGAATGAGGAAACTAGATAAAAGTAGTTAATTAAGACAAAAGAAAAGAAAACTATAAGGAAACCACATCTCCAAGTGACTGGTGACTGAGTGCATCACTCTCCTTCAGTTGTTAGGAAATTAGACTCTCGTACAGATTAATGGAGATGTGAAGACTACAATTTAACAGGAAGACTAATAAGGAAAAAGCAAAATGAAATATTTATTTCTCAGATGCTTTGAAATCACATTATTAGGCCTTAAAACATTTCTTTGAGGCAGTTTAATGTTCATACCTGAGTAACGCAGATTCAACTAACAGTTTTGAGCACCTACTGTATGTCAGATACTTTTCCCATCTCAATACTGATATATATGAAGATATAAATACGTATATATCCATAAACATGTACATCTTCACACCATGGGCAACTCAGCTCTTCTCAGCAGCTCAGAGTCATGCCACCCAATTATATGATAAATCCACAGGATACTTCATCTTCAAGGGTGGGGTGTTATAATTTAACAATGCCTGCTTCCCCCATTGTGAAGCTAGTTGGGTTTTCGTGTTTTTGTTTTGGCAGCTGGCTGGAATGGGGATCTGAACACTTGATCTTGGTGTTAGCAACACCATACTCTAACCAACTTAGCAACCAGCCAGCCCCTCCATTGCAAAGCTAGGAAAGGAATCAAAATGTTCGACTGTTTGCCATGGTGGCCTAGAAATCTGATTTAAAGGATTGATTTTGTCCCCTCAGTGAATGATTTTGTCCCTTCTGCAAACTATAGTTTTGTTCAAAGCCAATTCTAATATCATAAGGGGCACACAGATCTCCTTATATCAGAAAAATTATTATTTAAATAAAACAAAACAAAAAACTCAATGCAGGGCCAGCCCGGTGGCGCACTGCTACAGTGCGCCGCTTGGGAGCGCGGTGGCGCTCCCGCCGAGGGTTCGGATCCCACATACAGACCGGCCGCTCACTGGCTGAGCGAGGTGTGGACGCAACACCGAGGGTTGCGATCCCGTTGCCGGTCCCGGTCCGGTACGGGCGCGACACTGACGGTTGTCCGCTTGGGAGCGTGGTGGCGCTCCCGCCGAGGGTTCGGATCCCACATACAGACCGGCCGCTCACTGGCTGAGCGAGGTGTGGACGCAACACCGAGGGTTGCGATCCCGTTGCCGGTCCCGGTCCGGTACGGGCGCGACACTGACGGTTGTGATCCGTTGCCGGTCACGAAAAAAGACAAAAAGGAAAAAAAAAAAAAGAGTTTGGATCCCTGTAGCAGCCAGTTCCAAAGAGAAAAAAAAAATAAAAATCACATTTCAAAAATATTTATGGCTAATAAAAAGATAAATAGCCCACTTTTTAAAATTGACAATGGATCTGAATAGACATTTTCCCAGAGAAGATATACAAATGACCAATAAGCACAATGAAAAGATGAAGGATATCATTAGTCATCAGGAAAATGCAAATCAAAAACATGAGATACTGGGCCGGCCCAGTGGTGCACTCGGTAGAATGCGGCGCTTGGGAGCGTGGCGGCACTCCCGCCGAGGGTTCGGATCCCATATAGAGACCGGTCCGCTCACTGGTTGAGCACGGTGCGGGCGCGACACCGAGGGTTGCAATCCCATTGCCGGTCGCGGTATGGGTGCGACACTGAGGGTTGCAATCCTGTTACCAGTCACGAAAAAAGACAAAAAGGAAAAAAAAAAAAAACACGAGATACCACTTCATGACTACTAGAATAGCTTCAATAAAAAAGAGAGTAATAAGTGTTGGTGAGGATATACAAAGATTGGAACCTCATACATTACTGGTAGCATGTTAAAATGATGCAGCTATTTTGGAAAACAGTATAGCAGTTCCGCAGATGGTTAAACATAGAGTTAATCATAGATTAAACAGGACTTAGCAACTATATTCCTAGATATCTACCCAAGAGAACTGAAAACATAAGTCCACATAAAAAATGGTACAAAAATGTCCACAGCAGTATTGCATTTAATAGCCAAAAAAGTGGAAACAACCAAATGTCCGTCAACTGACTAATGGAAAAACAAAATGTGGTATATCCATACAATGGAATATTATCTGGCAATAAAAGGAATGAAGTACTGGTACATGCTACAATGTAGACGAACTTTGGAAACTTGCTGGTGCACACAGAGAGAAGGCCGTGTGAGGACACAGTGAGAAAGTGGCCATCAGTGAGCCACAGAGAGAGGCCTCTGGAGAAACCAAACCTTCCAGTACCTTGATCTCAAACTTTCAACTTCCAGAACTGTGAGAAAGTAAATTTCTCTTGTTTAAATGCTAAGCAAAAGAAGCCAGTCACAAAAGGCCACATATTGTATGATTCTGTTCATATGCAATGTCCAGAAAAGGCAAATCCACAAAGACAGAAAGTGAAGATTAGTGTTTGCCAGGGGGTGGGGGAGGGGGAATGGAGAATGACTGATAATGGC